TGGGCCTGTCGGCAGGTGTCGGAGGCGCGGGAGGGCCGCGGGGGGAGACAGCCAAGCGCCTTCCCTGGAGCTGAAAGGAGGAAAAGCCCCGCAGCTCCGGGTGCCGCAGGGCTGCCGGAAAGCTTGCGCTAATCCGGGTAGGCAAGCGGTCGCAGCACAGAGGATAACTGGCCGCCCGTTGCAGAGTCGGCTGGCGGAGGGTGCTGGTGGGAAGATGTGTGTGGCACCTGAGGAGTTGCAGAGCTGGCTGCAGCCTTGGCAGGATTCATTTCTCCAGCAGCAGCGGAGCGAGACGAAGATCAGTCGTCTGTGAATGGTAGGAGGCAGCAGGGTCGATCCTCGAGACCACCGGCGCCAGCTCCGTGGGTGCTCCGGCTCAAGCACCCGCCGAAAAAAATTAGCGGGTGCTCAGCACCTACAGAGCAGCTTGCAGATGTTAAAAAAAGCCAACAAACAAAACCCCTGGTGCTTTATGGGAAGAAGCAGCGTGCAGCTTTAACCTGGCTCTGCAGCGTCTGTAAAGATCGAGCGCTTCAGTGGGGCTTTTAGCTAGAGATGATTCAGTCTTTACAGACCAGGTAGCAGTAACACACTGCCTTTTCTGGGTATGCACAGGGCTTGGCACGGGAAGGGTCCTAGTTAAAAGTAAAGTGCCATTTTTTTTGTTTTTATGCCTGCAAGCACCCACCAGCCACAAAAAAAGGTGGTGCCTGTGCTCAAGGCAGTAGGGGATGGAGTGGCGCCTAATGCAGGTGCATGGCGTGAGTAACTCCACACATAACATTGGTAAAGAAGTGGAGGATGTGCCTTGAAAGTAGTGGGGCAGGGGTGAGGACTGTAGTGAAGCAATTGTCCAACAGTTAAACGAGTAAGTGACTTGGCACAGATATGAACATGCAGATTTCTTTTGTGATTGTAGCTGTATTACAGATCAGGACAAATAAAGCTCTTATTTGTTAAATTAGTGGAACTGATGAATACAATTAGAAGCCTTCTGGCAAGAGTGTAATGTACTAATAAACTAAGTGAAGACTATACCGGCCTGCAGGCTGGACAGATTAGGACTCGTCTTTTCCAAATTTACTTTGGAGTTGACTAGGTTAGTTTGCTGTCAAACTCCTGAATTAAGAATACTTGCAGAATGTAGAAAAGTGGTGGTAAAATGTAACCCGCTACCCTCCAGGATTCATATAACTAGTAACGCTCAAGAAGGATCAATTTCTACAAACTATAATATAGAGTCTGTAAATCTCTAGAATTCATGCTGTCCACAGGTAGTGTCACTAAAGCTATAATGAAAATACATTATTTGACATTATTTTTAACATATACAAAGTTGGTAATAATTGTGAGCTACATTATTGAAATGTCTGTAGCAAAAATAGCAACTGTCAGAAATGTGGAGGTGGAGGGAATACTTGGATTTTCAAGGTTACTGCATACATAAAACAAATGAGTTGCTTCTTATGACATTTTGAAGGATAGATGTAAAAATGTAAGCTAATGACTACCAGCAGGCCTCAAATTTACATAGAATCTATTTGTTTTGTTTCATCCAGATAACAGCCATCTGTGGAGGGGATTACTAGAGAAATCTAAAAACTTTAAATAGATTCACAGCTCTTTTTGGGATCCAATCTTAGCAGAAGGACTTGTATTGCATTTTAAGTAAATGCTTACTTTTTGTGGCCTTTATGTTCTCTGAACAAGTTTTTATATACTTTCAGAGATGTAATTTGCAAGTTGAAACACCTTCTTTCAGCAAAATTGTAGTGTCTGCTGTGTTTGGTTGGAAGATTGGTTCTTGTTTGTTGGTTGATATAGTGTGGTCCCTTTTAAAGAGCTGTTCTAACATCAGAAAAAACTGTAAGATGCATCTGAGAAGACGATAAGAGGTAATTTGGGGGCTGGAACATTTTGGAGAACCATGTACTTTATTTTTCATTTGTGAAACTATCCATGTCAGTTTTTATATGATTATAGTGCTTTTATCTTCTGATGTATGTGTGGCTGAACTAGTTTTTAGAATTCAGTTATGTTGATAGCTATTCCTACTGAATTTGAATCTGACATTCAAAATCTGTGCTTTGAAAAAATAATGGTGTATGTGTTGTTCTTGGTGGACTTGTAGTTCTACTATTACATGTGATTTTTTTTTTTAAATTGAACACTTAAGACTCATTTATGACAGGAAATCTGTCTGACTTCTATTTTAAATCATAGAGCAATGCTTTGCATTAGCAAGGAAACAAGAAGATAATATCATTTTAGAACATGCTTATACGTTATTGCTGAAAGGAAAAATATGTTGCTCACCAAATCGTGTAGGGGCTTATGGGAGCATGTGGTAGGTGTCTGCCAGAAACCAGGATTCCTAAATGGAGAGAGTATTTTTCAGAGTCTAATTCCAACATGTAATTAAAATAGCAGATTATTCCAGTAGCTATTTTTGCTCCGGTGGATTGATTACTACTTTTTGGACATCTGCCAAAGCATTCTTTGATCTAGGATACAGTTGAATTTTTCAAGATTTTTTTTTTTTTTTTACCAGCAAAGAGTATGAGTTTTTCCATCTGATACATAATATGTATGGAACTGAGGCCTAGGTGTACATTTTTGGGAATTTGCCTAGCTTTGTTCTCTTCAGGAATTTCTTCATTGGAACAGCAAGTGATATTGCCAGCTGGCAAAATTACATCTGGCAGTTACTGGGACACTGCAGGTTATAGGCATATCATCAGAGCTGTTCTCTAAATCTTTGAGCATCTGAAGCCACTGTGGCCATTCAGTAATTCTCTGTGGTCACCAAGTGATTTCCTGGCGACACCAAGTGATTGATCCTGTCCAGCACTGGGCCCGTCTGCCCTGCACCCACAACTGGGGGTCCCGGCCAGTCTCGATGGAGACCTGCGGGGCTGCTCTGGTGCCTCTGGCAGTGAGTGCAGGGCAGGTGGGCCCAGGGCCAGATAGGATCAATTGCCCCTCCTGCCCTGCAATCCCTGCTGTGCTGGGCCAGGCTGGGTTAACCCTGTCCCCCTGTCAAAGCTCACGTCTCGCTGAAAGTCCTTAAGTGGCCTTCCAGCCCAAATCATTTCCCACTCTGGTCTTGCAACATGTCCTGAAGGTGGACAGATTTTTTGCAATGAGCTTCCAGATTAGTTATGCCAAATCAAGCCACTTTAACCAAGAGCATGGCTCTTAGGCTCTTATGTATGCTCCAGAGGAACATAGCTGCATGGGTGAATGGAGAGATGTTTGGGTTTCAATCTGTTGCTGGCTTTAAAAATCAAGACCAGGGTCTAGAACTGTAATATTAGTTGAATGGCATCTATCAAAGAATCTGAACATTGAAGTGTTATGCTTCTGGTGTCCCTTCTTGTGGATAAGGTGGATTGCCATATCCTTTTCTTCCACTGTTGGTTCCAAAGATAAAAGTTTAAACTATGTACAAAGAGGTGACTCTTGTGGCGAAATACTGTCCATCCTCAAAAACAATTATTTCTCAAAAGCTAGTCAGCTGTCCTGATACAGTGTAAAAATCACAGGCGTGTTTTGTTGGCAGGCTAAAAATTTAGGAGCTGCATGAATTTAGTTGTAGGTCTCAGAGTTGCTGCTTATAATCAAGGTTATTAAACAGCAAAGAATATCTTTGTGATGGCTTTTACAAGACAGGAGGATCACCCTGTCAGGCAGAACGCAAAGCATCCAGAAGGCTGGAGATGGGCCTACAGTTGATGTAGATCAAGTGAGGGAACACCTTGAGAGGCTTGACATCCGTAAGTCCGTGGGCCCGCACCGAATGCACCCAAGAGTCCTGAAGGAGCTGGCCGACATCATAGCATGGCCTATGGTGAAGATATTTGAGAACTCGTGGCACTTGGGAGAGGTATTAGAAGACTGGAAAAGAGTCAACGTGGTCCCAATCTTCAAGAAAGGAAGGAAGGAAGATCCAGGGAATTACAGGCCAATAAGTCTGACATCCATCCCTGGAAGGATCCTGGAGAAAATCATCAAAAGTTCCATCAGCAACAGGCTAACGGAACATAACTTTCTGAGTGCCAGCCAACATGGCTTTGCTGCTGGAAGGTCTTGGCTGACCAACCTCATCTCCTTCTATGACCAGGTGATGCATTGCCTAGACGAGGTAGATGAGGTTGATGTCATATACCTGGATTTAAGAAAGCCTTTGACTTGGTATTCCATGATGTCCTCATGGTTAAGCTGGGGAACTGCAGCCTTAACCATTTCCTGGTCTAATGGCTGGGGAACTGTCTCCAGGGTCAGACCCAAGGAGTATGAGTTGATGGGAGAAAATCAGTGTGGTGCAAGGCGGCCAGTGGTGTCCCTCGGCTCAGTACTCGGGCCAGTACTCTTCAACATCTTCATTAATGATCTGGATTTGGGTGCCAGATATGGACTGGCAAAGTTCGTGGACGACACTAAACTATGAGGGAAGGCAGTCACACTGGAGGACAGGCTGGGGATACAGGCTGACCTGGACAAGCTCGCAAAGTGGGTGAACCAAAACCTGATGGCATTCAACGTAGAGAAGTACAGGGTGCTCCACCTTGGGAGGAAAAACCAGCATTGTATTTATGGGTTCGGCAGTGGTATGCTCACTAGCACCATGATTGAAAGAGACTTTGGGGTCTTGATTGACCACAAAATGAACGTGAACCACCAATGTGATGCTGTAGCTGGCAAGGCAAACCAAACTGTGGCATGCATCCACTGATGCATCTCAAGCAAAACCAGGGACGTTATCCTTCCGCTTTACCTGGCCTTAGGCCGCAGCTGGAGTACTGTTTCCAGTTTTGGGCCCCCTACTTCAGGAGGGATGTGAATAAGCTTGAGAGAGTCCAAAGGAGAGCCACCCACATGATCAAAGGCCAAGAGAGCAAATCTTATGAGGAGAGGCTGAGGGACATGGGACTCTCCAGCCTGGAGAAGAGAAGGCTTGGGGTGACTTGGTGGCAACCTATAAATATATAAGGGGTGTGCACCAGGACCTGGGAGAATAGTTGTTTACCAGGACCCTCCAAGGGATAACAAGGTCTAACAGCCAAAAACTGCTGGAAAGCCAATTTAGACTGGAGGTAAGGAAGTACTTCTTTACAGTCCAGGTGTCCAGGGTCTGAAACAGACTCTCCCCAGAGGTGGTGCAAGCATCTACTTTGGACTCATTCAAAAAAATTTGGATGCTTATCATGCTGGGATCATTTCATCCTAGCAGAATTCCTGTCTATGGCAAGAAGGCTGGACTCGATGATCTTGCAAGGTCGTTTCCAGCCCCTAATGTCTATGAAATCTGACCTCAGCACTGAGGTGGGCAGAAGATAATCACATACTCAAGATTTCAGTTTCTCTACCTCACTTCTTTTTCCATGTCATTCTCTAGGTATTCCCTAAATCTAGAAAGCCAGGATTGGAAGTGGCTTCTTTCTGATCTGAGTTGGGTTTCCTGGGTGTGCCAATTGACATATCTGTAACAATAGCAAAGTGTTGTGCCAGTGCACCATGAATGAGCTGGGCAGCAGAAGCAGAGGGCCTCTGACCATCCCAAAAAATCTCCATTAGCCTACCAGTGTATATTTATATATAGTGTACTGGTGTTAATTATGGTTCCTTCATTTTTAAATTGATTTTAAGAAAACGTTTTAAAGGGGAATTATATTGAGATGTCATCCAAGACTATTTTTCCACTAGAGAGTCAGTTACACTTACAAAGCTGGTGTTTTGTAAGGAGTGTGGTCTGTTAACATTCACTTTTCTTCCTTAATATAACTTTGCAACTGAAGCTGAAACATCTTCATTTTTAAATATTATTTAAACCACCTAAAATAGGGGGAAAAGACAAAAAAGGCACAGGTATTTTTTTTCTTTTAGTAATGATAAACTAATTGTGAATCAGGTTGAGCTGATGCCCGGATAAACTTCCATAAAGCTCATTTGACCAAGCACTTGTTGGAGCTGTAGTCTAATGGTACTCTATCCAGATTCCATCACTTTTGTTGGGTGTCCTTTGGTCTTTTCAGGCTTCTTTTAAGTTTTCTGTAAAATCAAAATTTTAAAAATAATTCTTATGAATGAAGGTTAATTTCTCAATTTTACTTAGGCCAGGATTACATAGGAATAAAGGAATTGGACCCTAGCGCTTCATCTAGTAGAGAGATCCCAAAGAAAACAATTCTTTAGAGCCTTTGAGGTCAAATTAATTTATGCTGGTATTTAAAATGGAAGGAGTAGAGCTTTAAGGTTTATTTTGGTCAGGGCTTGTCACAGGTTGGCCTGCCTTACGACCAACAAGGGAAATGGTTTGGATAGATAAGGACAATGATCTGTTGCAAAAGTGATAAGGTTAGTCTTTTGATTACAATGTTGAAAGTATCCTTTTATATAAGGCCCAAACCTAGAGCTGTTTCCACTTCCACTGAAGTTTTTGGATTGGCCAGTTCAGGAACCAAGGAGGGGTGGATAAGTTTCTGCCTTACCGTGTGCATCACCAGTGCACAGAAACTCTTGGGTTTGTAAAATTCTGCTTTGAAAGCATCTAGATAATGTGGTCTCGTCACTCCTAGTTAGCTTATACCCAGGGATGTGGGTTTTCTGTTTGCCACTGGGAGGCTTCCAAGTTATTTTAAAATTGTAAATATATCAGTAAAACCTTGTGTTCAATCTATCTCTATATATAGTGATGCTTCATTTTAACTGCAGACTTTGAGGGTTTTAAGCAGAGAATTTGTGATTTTTAAACAGAGAAAACCAGGATCCCTGTATGACCACTTTGAGCCAGATTGTCTGGCTTAAAATGCAGATGGGTGCTTAGTGGGATTTTTCAAGAGTACGTCAGTGTTTAACTCCCATTAAAATAAGAGAGGTGATTAATGGAATTTTTAAAATCTTGTAGGGTGCTAGCTGCATCTTGAAGCATTCAGGCATTTTTAAAAATATGGTCCTAACTTTCTAGGACAGAGGAATAAAGTGATAGGATTGGTAGTAATGAAAAATGACTAGGTTGATTTTTGTTTCTGTTCTGTTGCCAGGACATTGTATGGATTAATGGATCCAGCAAAAGCCAAATTAACATGTAAGAAATTGTTTTTGTTTGTTCATTGCACTTTGCCTGGTTTGGCATCAGTTGCTAAAGCTGGCATTGATTTTGATGGGAAAATAGGATATTAGAAATGTATAGGATGATCTGAATGAAGTGCTGTTATCCAGTCCTCTGAATTTTCTGAGGTTTTTAGACCATCGCTCAATTTAGATGCCTAAATCCCATTTTAAGTGCCTTAATTGGGCAGAGAGAGGCAAAACTGTTCCTTGGCTGTACTGCTGTAATAGGCTTAGTCTAATCAGCACACGGGCATGGATCCTTCCTACCCTGTCTTGCTCTACCAGTCTGTCTCTTCTAGCTATCTTACCAGGTTAGGCAAGGAATCAAAATGGTTACCAGGGACAGAGGGGTTTGTTTAAATATGAAAACTTATTCAGTTGGTATTTCTCCCTTGTCCATCTCTCCCACTAATTTCAGGGCTTGGAAAAGACTCTAATCCCTGCCCCTCTGTGTCTCATCTCGTTTCTTTCCTTTGGTAAATCTAGTGAGAGAGTTTATGATGAAAATGCACTTAACTTTATTTATTGCCGAGTCACTCTATGCTTATGCTGTTACTAAATATAACATCTTTAATTTAGAATAAGTTTCTTTTATGCTCATTCCTGACAAAATGATTGGATTAGTTTATCTGCACTGTGATTCTTTTTTTTTTTTTTTTTTTTTTTAAT